ATTTTTGACATCTAATTGGTGAAGAGGCCAATCTAAATTAACAGCAATAGATAAAAGAACTCTAATAGAGTTAATCTTAGCAACAGGGGCAAATGTTTCTTGATAATCTATCCCATAAGTTTGAGTGAAGCCTTTGGCTACCAACCGAGCTTTGTATCTTTCAATACTACCATCAGCATTGCATTTTATAGTGAAAACTCATTTGCATCTCACTGTTTTCTTTTCTTTAGGTAGATCCACAATGTCCCTTGTGCAGTTTTGTTTTAAAGCATTTATCTCTTCCATAACTGCTAATTTCCAATTTGAATCATTTAGGGCCTCCTGTATGTTCTTTGGAATAATCAAGTTATTTATTTTAGAAGTGAAGGCTTTATGACTATCTGACAGTTTTTTATATGAAAGGTAATTTGCAATAGGATATTTAGTACAAGTACGAACACCTTTCCTAAGGGCAATAGGAACATCAAGATCAGATATATCAAGTGAGATAGATGATTCATTGGGAATAGGAGATTGATTACCTGGATTTTCAATATCATTCCTCGGGGTAGTAGAATGGGGTGACAAGTCAGCTCCTTGATCTTCATTTCTTTGATTGAAATGTCTCCTAGTATAAACTTGAAGCTCGTGATTTATATCAATAGGGTCATTTTGTGGTGGTTTTTCTCTCCCTGGATGAAAATCTTCCACACGTGGTACTAAAGAATCAAGAATATCAGGACAAATGATATTCGGGAGAGAAGTAGAGATGTCCCAAAAATTATCTTCAGAACTCGATTCCTCCCCCTGAAGGAAATTTCGGAAACTATGAATTCCTATATAAAAAATGAAAGACTAAATATTACAATAATTATCTAAAATATATAAAACCAACATGTGGTTTGAGACTTTTCAACTTCAAAGCTTGACTCTTCATCTTTGATCACCATTTTGATGTGATTGACATCCAAGGTATTGGAGAAATCTCTGAGATTTAGAATGGCATTTTCTTCCTTGGGAGTTTCCAAATTGCAACAATCTTTTACTCTTACAAAAACACCTCCCAAAGTTCAATTTTATTTTGGGATGGGAAAAGATGATA